GTGCTGCTGTATCTATTCGTTTGGTTCCTATTGATTGATCTAATGCATCTCGATTAATAAAATTCAATTGAAATTGTGTCGATGTAGCAACATAAAACATTGGAATCCATATAACGGATGTTTTAGCAAAACATGCACAAAAGAAAGTAGCCATTGGTGGTATAGCATAGTCTTTACCTCGAAATGCTGAAACAAAGAGTGTTACTGCATAAGGAGTCCATGTAAAAATAAAACCACTTGTTATAGTTATAATATCTATGTCAAAATAATTTTATTGAATGAATAACAAAGAAAAAATAAATAAATACTTACTTTTAAGAACACGTCCTTCCATTTCAATTCGTTTTCGATTAAATATTGTTTGAATACCATTTTCAATTTTTTCACGCATTTGTTTAAGTCCTAACATAGTAATTGTATTGAAAATAATAAGAATTATAAGTGGAATGCAATAGACAACAATGAAAAGAAAAAAAAAGAAATGCAACATAAGAAGTACGTCGATCGTACCAATTAATACAACAAGAAGTACGAGCGCCCTAAAAAGAAAAACAAATAATATAGATAGTCATTGTATTTTTATAATTCGTTAAAATAATCAATACTAACTTCCATTGTATATTCATTCCATCCAATTACTGGTAATATAGTCCAAATAAATGCAATAAATATTGCAATACATGAAATAATAATACATTTGTTTACCTAGAATTATTTTAACGATAATTTTTGTTTAATCAACAATTATAATCTACTTACAGTAATATATCTAGCTTGAAATGGTCGAATAATAATATAACATCGACTAAGACTTGCTCCACAAAGTAAATATGAACTTGAACAACCATATAAAAATGCTACAATAGCACTTAATTGGCAACCTGTACGTTTATATAACCATTGACAATAAATTGAAGATGTACCTGTCAATGGAAGTATTGTACAAGATGCAAAAAGACCCATTCCAATAATAAACATAATAAATATATTTGGTGGTGAACGAAGAGCTTTATATCGTATAAAATTGTAAAATAGAGTTCCATTAAGAACAATACCAATAAATGCAGCAATACATAAAAGTATGCCCGTAATTCGAATTGTATTACAATTAACTGGTGTTGGACGACTCCAAAATAATGGATCATCACGAGAAAGATGTTCATCAATAATTGAAGAATAATTGAAAGACATTGTTGATGTTCTTTTGTGTTTAAATGAAATAGAATGACTATATATATAGATGCGTAAATCTATTTCCTCTTTTTTATTCAAATGAATAAACAAAGAAAAGGTAGCTTATAGCAAAAAAATATATTTTTCTTCGATGAGATTTTTTCTTGCATATCTAATCTAGGGAG